ACATTTTTATTATTAGGAAAAAAAAATCCTACTAACCTCATATTAAAAAAAACAAAAAACCCAACACGTAAACAGAAAACAGTATCTATACTTTCTGATTACATTAATATCTTATAGGCCAGTTCTCGAAGCATCATAGCAAAGTTTTACAACAAGTATACTATATATCACAATTTGCAGCCTAAACGCTTGAATCTTTCCTCAAGCCTACGAGGAAGTTCCATCAGTATAAAGAAGTAAAATAAAAAAAGAAGCCCACAGTAAGAAAACAAATCTTCAAAAGGAAAGAAATCAAAGTAAAGCAACATACAAAAGAATTCCCACTCAATGTCCTCTGGTGGAGAAAAAGAAAAACACAAAAATAAAAGCGTAAGGAAACAATATATGGACTCTACTATTTCCATATACTATATTCCATTACTCAAACTAAAACATTCTCTACTTCTGTACAAGAAAGGAAACAGAAACACAAAAACAGCCCCTTACACCGTGACAAAATAACATTTCTAAAAAGAATGGGAGCAGTGGAAAGATCACAAGGGGTGAAAGAGTTATTTATATAATCATGTAACAAACAAAGAAAAGAAAGAGAGATAAGGATGATAGATGTTCGATAGAAAATAAGGAGCAAATCACACCACAGCATCTGCCAACCATCCACGCAGAGGGGAAAATTTTGACACAGATCCTAAAACCCTTCACATGAACAGACTGACAAGAAAAACACTGAACACAGAACTTTCTCATGACATTTGCTTCAAAATACATCAAGTGTTAGGCAATAAATATTAGCAACAATGTTACTTCTTTTCATCAACTGAAAAAAAATAAAAAAATCAACATACAGACATGTGAGTATGTACAATACTTGACAATTTCACCCAACACACAAAGGGTAATGTTTTAACCCCTACGACGGGACCACGAATGAAATGGTCCCCAACAAATTAAGCAATAATATAATGTGTCACGAGGCGGTGGGATCAGGCGCTCATCAAATTTCAGGCATATAGAATTTTTGGTATAAACTTAAAGTGTGTTCACTTGCCTTGCTTTCGACCAAAAAAATGCCAATCTATCTTACGTGGAAGTTGAGATATTTGCATTTGAAGAAGGTGAGGGTTACCCGGTGTCTTGAGGTAAAATTGGCGAGAAAATGGCGGCAAAAGTTTGGTGAATTCCAAAATTTGAGTGTCCCTGAAAATTGCAGATTTACATTTGGGGGGGGGGGGGCCTTTGATCAACGTTTTTCTGTAAAATCCACAGAAAAATATTTTGAAATGGATGTAAGAGCTGTTGAGAAAAGAAAAACCCTCCAACACATGGATGAAAACTGCCCAATGGTTGGGAAAAGTTACGACTTCTTCGATTTCATTATTTTGACGAGCGCCTGATTTCACCGTGATGCCTCACAAATGAGGATTAAGTATGGCAGGGCCCTTCTCTGACAGAAAGGTACATGAACAATTTTCAGTTTCACTCCATGAGGACATTATTTTAGGTACTGTTTACAACAGGCTTGAAACAACATTCACAACTCAGCGCAGCACGGAGGGCCCACTACACTCCTAACACAAGAAAACAGATCAACATTAAACTGTTATGGCATTAGGCGTGATAATAATAATATTTCGCAAATCTGCAAAACATGAGAAACTACCCAACTACTTTGAAAAAAAAAACAAACAAAAAAACTGAGAGCTCAGTGTATACAAATGAAATCAAGATACACATTCTGTGACAACTTCACTTCATCAGATAAAATTTGGGCGTAGGAACGATAAACGAATATTGAATAGAAACACACACACATATATATATCAGCAAAGGCGAAAGAAAAGGTTCAAACAAGAGTATGAGATTGAGATTTTGAGCCAGCATGCTCCTTACAGCAAGTATCACAGGAAAGGAAGAACGCCTTTGTTAAGCTCTTTTTTAAACACAAATCTTAATGCAGCTGTAATTACACACACCCCCGTCGACACAATTAAGATCATTTAGGAGGCGGGCTTCAACCCTGCCTGTCATGGCCAACCCGGGTTGAGAAGGACACAACGTCCCAGCGAAAAGACAGAGAATAACATTATTTCACTACCAATAAATACGACGGAAATAATGAAAAACAGCAACTAAACAAAGAAAAGATTTTCAACCTTTTACATCAGTCCACTGTTCACAGCCAGTTTTTCCCTGTGTTTCATTTCGAGCGTTACTCGTGTTCTTTAATACCCTACTCCACAACAGAAGATTTTGAAATAATGAGCCCAGACAAACACAGAACAGACGTAAAACAAGCAGACCATACAAGAGCACCCACCAGCCATCCCATCCGCACATCTATTCACAGACCGTAAGGCAGACTCTAAATAATAAGACAGATGGGCATGTTCTTCATAGAAGAACGTATCACTTTGAGCTGTAAATTGAAAACTTTCAGCAAACAATCCATTCGTGCACCTCAGTCTCAAATCCAGTCGCTTCTGCAATATGAACATTTTAGTCCATGATGATTCAAACACATAAGATACGTTAACCCTTTCCGTACGCCCTGGAGTCATTTTGTACTCCTGGGGTTGTATTCTTCACATTTTAGAATACTTCTAGTACAAAGATGTCTTTGAAACTTTCAGTATTTCTCAAAAAATCGTGTAGGGGTCGGATTAATGAGTAAATTTCCTCTTAGGAAAGTGGTGGCACAGAGTTCCCCACGCCGTATGGATACGACAGTAAAACACGACGTACAGATAGGGTTAATAAAACTGTAAAAACTAAAATGCAACAATGCAAAACTAAAATACATAAATAAACAGAAAGTTCAGAGAAGAACAAAATATATGAAGAATATTTCAAAATTCTAACCACAAAAAAGAGAATAATGTTCTTGCCAAAAATAAAACACTATTTCGAATACTGTTTTATGACACAACTTGAGCTTTGAAGATCACAAATTACTTTCCACAAGGTAAATAGTGCTATCTAAATAAAAAGCCTAAGACTAACAAGATTTAAAAAAAAACAAAAAACAAAACAACGACAACAAAATGTTATATTGCCATTTCCCAGAATAAAAAACGAGGAACTAAAATAAAACATCTAACCGCCTGGCAAAAATGGAATGAATGGGAGACGATTAGGGCGCCACTAAGGGGGGGGGTAAAGGGACCTGAGATCTCTGTTTTGATTTTCTTTTGTATAATGTAGCGTATTTTATGCCCCCATCACAACAACAAACTAGATTATTTAGGAGGCGGGCTTCAATCCTGTCTGTCAGTCAGGGACAACTCAGGCTGAGAGGGATACTACATCCCAGCAGAAAAACCCGAGGTACTCCATAAAAATTCAGGCTTCACGGGAGCTGAACTTTGGTCTTCTAAGCACACTTTACTTTACTTTTACTTTTCCGATCCAGCGGCCATTTGGGTTCTAGCCCTTCGGTCTGGTTCTGAGCACACAAGAGCTCTGTTTGACTGCCACTGTAGTCGTTAAAGACACAATGCCATTTTGAATGTATATCCTAAAATCCTGAAAGTACTGAAACATAGCGCCGGCAAGCTTTACAGCTGTACTAAGCTCAATTTTGTTCTTAATTTATTAATAGCAGTTTCTTAATCAGTGATATCGGTTGCCTGTGATCAAGCAATATTTTGTCAAAATTCAAATTCTAAATGTTGAAAAAAAAAAAGCCACGAAAAGATGCATAATATAGATGCAATATTTAAAAGAATGAAACAGTTTTTTTCCTCTTTCTTGAAAAATGTTGCTTTCTGGGATTAGAACAGTACAGTTGAGCAGCTAGCTGGTGGTAGGGAAAAGTGGCATCCCTTTCTCGTCATAAATAAACATCTCAAAACATAGTAGTAGAATAAAACGTTCACTGAGGTAACGAAGTGGTGTTTGTTTGTTTGACCAGACCAGGACAACGAAAGGTCCAGAAAACACTGAAACAGAGAGAGAGAGAGATAGTGAGCGAGTCAGCTGATCATGTGCACACAACGGCAGCAGAAAAAAAAGTGAAAGGTCATCATCGTTTGAAAGGTCACATCACTTCGAGACGGCTGGGGACTCTTTTGTGTTCCCGGCTTTCACACGGCTGAGACATAGGGACAAGCACGTCAAAGGATAATAATAGTAACAGCAATAATAATATTAATAATAATATAGTGTCAAAGATCAAGTGAATCCGACGGCTCTCGCAATATAGGCTATATAAGAGCAGTCCCCACTGGGTATTCTCATCAATCTCTCCTTTGGAAAAGGGGGCGTGTCTCGTCCTGGAAAGAAAGGGGGCGTGTCTTGTCCTGGAAAAAGGGGCGTGTTTCTCGTCTGGCACGCTAGTTGAACAAGATGGACTCTGGGTCCTGGTTCTGGAGCTGTGCGATGTGGCGGAGCACGTCCTTTTTGGTGATGATGCCCAGCAGACGTCTGTGGGAGGTACAGCACCATCGTAAATATACAACATAATAATACAGAAAATAATAATAATAATAATAATAATACAGAAAAAAAAAGATCATAATAATAGCAATAATAATAAAGAAAATAATGTAGATAACAATAACTACAATAACAGTAATAATAGAGAAAATAATAACATAGATAATAAAAGTGATAGAGAAAATCATAATATTGATATCAATAACGATAAAGGAGAAAATAATAATAAATGTAATAATAATAATGATAATAATAACAATCCAAATAGTAATAATAATAACAATGATAGAAAAGCAAAATAACAGAGAAAATAATAATAAAAAAATAATATCATAGAAAAAAACAATAAAGCAGAAATTAAATGAAAAAATAAACATAATGACAATAACAGTACTGGTAGTAGTTGTAGAGAAAGTGGTAATACAGATGAAATTAACATAGATTTTATTAATATGATAAA